ACCGGTCAGCCCTCAAGGCTTGGAAGACAAGTCTATCAACTGTTGAGATTTCTTGTAACGAGTCTTTGGACTTGGTTTGAACAAATTCAGGCTTGAAGGAAGCTGTCCCCATCCCAGCCACCCTGGAGGATCTATAGCTGCGGGGGATTGTGGGCAAAACCCAGGTCTCAACCGTGCAAACACACCACGAACCGTACCGTAACATCTCAGCTGACAATCCACCCGGCGGACCTGGCACACAATGTCAATGGCCAAATGTTTGGGACTTTACATTCTCATATGGACCATTATGCCGGTCATTCCCGGTCGTTCCCGCATGGGCTCTATATATATATATATATTCTCTCCCTCTCTCTCCCTGTTTCTTTAACCCTGTTGGAGTCTCAGCCTCCCTTTCACCTCTTCATTGAGCCAACCACTGCACACCCCCTTCATGGGGTGGTAAGCCATCCGTTTTCGTCTTTTTGCCGGGCTCACCATGCACCAGTCCCACGTCTCCACCGCGGCCCTCACCCCCAGCTCCTGCGTCCAAGCTCTTCTGGTCCCGGCATGACACGGTCAACTCCACCAGATCAACCACAGAAGACTTGCCTCGGCACGGATGTGGCTCAAAGCTGGCCTCTTTGATATGTTTCTTCCAAGGGCACCTCTGATGACAGTTGTGCTTTGCAATTGCGGGTCCTGCACTTCAACGCACGCCCCCGTGCTCTGCCAAAACAATGTGGTGACAATCCACCCTTCACCTCATTTTGCATATGACATCCACTTTCACCAGGCGACCCAAGCACCACAGCACAGCTAGAGACAGTGAGACAGCTGACGACACTGCCAAGCAACAGCACAACCGGAGACAAGCCGCGAAAGCCCTACGACCAGCAAAAGCACCTTTCAAAGGAGTATGATAAGATAAGAACCCCCTGCCGGAAATGTAAGACGAAAACGAACAAAGGTATTGTTCCTTGAAGGTTTTTGTTCTTTCATGGTTGTTCCTCAGCTACAGTTTCTTCTATATTGAAATTAAAACTGTCAAGATCCCTTCAAAAAGACCAAACTATTCTCTCTAAATACTCACTCCTCTTCCAGGAGTGAGGCGAAGAGAACCTGTTTCGGGGCTCAGTCTGACAAGTTCAAATCCTTGGCTGTGGGCTGTGGGCTCATATACACTAATGAGCTAGTCAGCTGGGGCTGAGGCTGCGCACGCTCGTGATGTACCAACCCCTCCTGCTGATTGAAAGTTCCGTGCATCAAGCATTCTACGTGACATAGAATGCCATGACCATTTAGGGGCAGGAGCTAGGATCATATTCCACTGGGACTTCGCCAATTGTCGAGGCCGCAGTGTCATGCCGAAGGCCGAGTGAATGTCAAATGCCTGTTGTCCTGATTGAAGTTTCCTCTGTGATATGCATTTGTAAATACATATATGTATATGTGTGTGAATATGCGAATATATCCATATATATATATATATATGCCTGTCCACTGTCCACACAGCGTGCACTTACATGCGTTTATCAATAGTATTACAGTACTACTTTTGTATGTTTATGCAATTCTTAAAATTTTGTGGGTATCTCGATCCAACATCATTGAAGATCAAGCCGCTTAAGAGGGACCATTTTAAGACAACAAAACTAGGCTGCTCCTGAGGAAGGGCCGGCCTAACAGAAAACGGGTTTAAACATAGACTCTTCAGGCTCCGGAACAAGTCGAGACTTGCTGCTTCCCGCAAACAAATATCCTTGGGACCGTGCTCAATTTCCTACCAGTGCTTGGGGTTTGTCTCTTCCAGACTGCCTGAACCTTGCTCAAAACGCAAACTTCCTCACTGCACAAATCATATTTTTTGTTCAAGTCACCACCTGTGAAAGTAGTTTCTGTCGACACCAACCCATGTTTCCCCCATAGCCACGCCAAGCGGCCGGTCTGCAATTTCCCATTTGACTTATCAGCATCTCCTCCAGTAACATGCATCTGTCCTCACGTGTCACCAAGGCTGCAGCAACAATACAATTGTTACACTCTAACAGTGAAGCTTCGCATTTAGTGTGTGGTCGAAAACATTGTGAGGAAGGATTGTTCATTTCGATGTGGGAAGTGGCATACCTGATCAGGGCCCTTCTCCACCACACCCTTTATGGAACAAAAACTGCAAACCACCCGTGAACGAGGTATCAAGGTTCTTCAGCAAACAGCAGAATCGGAGTCTGACCCACACGACAAGCATCTTCGTAGCCCAGTTGTGATTTGAGTTCCCCTGGGATCTGTGTAGTTTCATGGCCTTCAATTAGCAACAATCCACTGTCTCCAGGTTTGCAGCGGTTTGCTGAAACAATAACCGTTTTGTTGTTGGCTGGTTAGCAGCTGTTGCGTATTTGAAGCTGGGTCGATGCAGTTAAGACCTGAAAGAAGTTCCACTGAGTCAAAACTTTCTTGGGAAACACCAGATAAACACCAAACAAAGTTAGGGGAAGTGATGCTTAGGCCAAATCAATTTTGACTTTGCGTTTCCCATCTCAAGTGTCTCACATGTCAATGACACAGTGGTCATGCCCCTGAAAATGCAATGTCTGTATGATGCAAGTCGTTTGGGGCAGCATTGGCCTGAAACGACATTTTTATAGTGATCATGCTGCCACAAAACCAGTCTTGGTTGGTGAACTACCACATCTTTGTGGACTTTATGAGTCTTGGCTGTAGCACCCGCCTGGTAGAACCTCCACCCGCAACCTGTTATTGAACCGCTTTGAGCATCACATGTTTGGCCCTGCCTGTACGGGATTGCATCTTGCGAAGGTTGCATCCTGAGCTTCAGGTGGGTCGTGGGTCGCACATCCCGGTGGTGTTGCTAGCTGTATGGCTCAACACTCCGGCAATATTCAGCGTTCCTCAAACAGACAATGTTTTCATTTGGGATTTGGAAAGTGCCTCCTCGTACAGACCCAGGTTGCCCTCTCCCTAATTTGTTGTGGGTTGTGTGGTCTCAACAAAAAGTGGGAGATCGCCCGAAGTAGAGCACACAGCTGGCCAATAACAACTGCCTCGACCGCACGCAATAATATTGCTGGGCTGGACTTGCCCACCAATGTTATACACCAATCTACCTGTCCAAGGTGCCCTTGCGACCAATGATGCGCGGCACCAGCTCGAAGCTTGCCTTGTGGTGGGCAAAAAGGATTGACCAGCAAGTACACAACTGCCACCACTATGCAACATGGGCTGAGTTCAATCATGATTTCTGAGAATTGGATCTGGAAACAGCTATTGGGTGATCACCCAACCAACAGGTGGGGTTACCTGAGGCACGCCAAGAGGGTTCTTCCGACAGCTCGCCAGCACTGTGAACCAGGTTTTGTGTTTTTTTTGGAGTTCCACCTTCTACATTTGGTGATCTCCCCCAGCAACGAAATGATCCAATCAAATTTGTTGGGCCGAGTGTGATGTCTTTTCACTTTTGGACACACAACGCGTCACCTGCCATCACCCCTTTGAATGTGCATGGTTGGAAGTCCAAACAACCCACCCTATAAACGAAATGGGCATGCTGTGGTAAAGATGCAAGTCATAACTGCACAAGCGGGTTGAATAGAGAAACTCCCACAAAAACACACAAAAAAAAAACATATAGTACATTATCGCCGGTTTGTTCCCAACCTCCCTTCTTCGAAAAAACAAAACAAAGGTCCAGCAACCCTGGCCCACCAAGTGGCATGCTTCGTGACATCATAACCAGTGAAAACGAACTTGCACGTGAAGTTCTCAGTTTTCCCTGCACAAGCACATTGTCCACCAGAAAGAGGAAGCACATCAATCAACCCCCCGAAACATTTTGACACGATTGTTCTTTAGTGCGAAACGTTCGGCGAAGGCTTGGGTCATCAAAGTCATGCTTGGAGGGCTATTGTGAATTAAAAAGGTTACATGCGAGAAACCGTTGCTTTTGCCGGTTTCAACCACCTCAAACCGTCTGACCTGGCCCCAACTGGAGTACCAACAAGCAAACAATCAAGCAAACAAACAAACAAACAAACAAAATCAAACAAACGAACAAATAGAAAGTGGCAAGGGGGCAACACATGGGCATCATGTGGTCAAGTCGACCTGTTCCTCTCAACAGGGCCTTGACCATTTGCATGCTGCTGTGGCCATGACGCCGTTGTAACCGATGGGGGGCGGCAACAGCAGCAACAACAACAACAACAATGACAACAACAACGACGACAACAACAACAACAACAACAGCAACAGCCACAGCAACAGCAACAACAACAACCACCACGACGACGACAACGACGACGACGACAACAACGACAACAATGACAACGACTCGACTGATACCCACCAACTGTCACCCCCGCACCAAGTCAGCCATACCCTGCAGCTCAGTTCCAGAACGCAGGAAGCCCCTTCTTGTGGGGGATTTACAGTATGTTGGTAGGCGGTTGCCATCTAGCGATACAACCGCGGCCTACCGTAATTATATACGTTCCTGCACCCCTGGCACCCCTATGTCCGACATCCTTGCACCCACCACATTTGCGTCCGCACCTCCTCCTGGCTGCGTGGGTTTGTAATCTTTGTTGGGAACCCAGGCACGGGCCGGCCTCAGATTCCACATCCACATCGATTGGGGATGGCGTGTTTGGGGTGTCCACTGTGTTCCCTCACAATCATTTTACAGTAACCAAATGTTGTGAATGCAAGCGTTTTCCGTCCAGCGACTGGCCCAGTTTGCGCCCTCCTTTCACAAAAGCCCACCATCATCCATCAACTGGTCAAGTCAACCCCGACAAACTGCACGATCATTGCCAATAGCATGTTTTATGACGCCTGACTTCCGCCCAGTGGGTTGCGCACTTGTACGCGCAGGCTGGTGGCCACAGCCCTGGTGGCGGCGCAGGCCTCGGGATCCGAGCGCGCATTTCTTCACTAATTTCACACGCCGAAAAAATATAGTCGCACCCCACCCAACGGACCGAACCAATGTTGTCCTGCTCGGTTGGCGATCCCGAATCCCAAACAGGACTCACACGGACAGGACCCAAACAGGAACCCCACAGGCGGAAATCACAACGGTTTGCTGTTCTCATGGGCTCTGCCATTTTAGTGTCGCTGCGGTTGTTTCCGTCGCGTGGGGTTCGCAGCAGTGTAAACCATGAAGGCTGCTGCGCTGGCGCCTTGTTAAAGCTAACCTGCGTTGTCAACTGCACATTTGAACTCTGACATGGGCAGAGGCAAATTGTTCCGGCTCCTCGTTGCCCCATATACAATGGCAATGCTGGGGTGGAGAAAGGGCTTCGCTCCCAAACGCTGCAGGACCACGTGCGCCGGAGCGGCCGGCGAACGACTGAGGAATAACTGGACAGTCGCATAGCGCAAAAGCGTACACACCCCACCGTGTGAGCGCGCGCAATTTGGCTCGTTGAGCTGCAGGCCCCTCCTTTGTAGAAACCTCAACAAAGCTGCATCATGTGCGGGCGTGAAGCACTGCACCCTCCTTCGCGCGTTTGTCTTGCCAATCTGCCCCATTGACTTGCACACTCCCAACACAATGCCTATCCTAGTCCCCGCCCGATCCTGTCCTCAGGACATCCTACCGCATTCTCTTGCGCCTGAATGCTTGCAGGGCATTCAGTTCTACTCTTGACTTTTTCGTTACAATGTGCTCTAGGCTCCGGTGTGTGGACTGCACCTATGTTTAATCTGTTCATTTCACCCTGCATGCTTGCAAGGTGCAAGCAACCCGTTTGGGCGCAGGTCTACGGTGAAACAAAGCACGGCTAAACTATGGTCATCACATGTGGCGTCCACATGTGGTCGTCCATTGCCAAGACCTGCCAAGCTTCTAAGCCTTGAAACAAATTTTCTTGACCAAGTGTGCCTTGGATAGCCCGGACTTCGTCGGAATGGTGGCTGCCATCGAAATAAAATCTTTGGACACAACGATTTCCAGCTAGATTCACAACATAAGTCCCAAGTTTCCAATGACAATGAGCTACCATCATGTCCAACACAAAAGATCGCACTCAACCACTTATGGCCAGTTTTGCCATTTTTTACTTTATGGTTCCCACTGGCAATGAAGAAAGTTGGCGGCTGAGCCTCGTTGGTTGAAACCACCATCTTGCTAGCATTCAGCCGTATGCGGTAAACCCATCACAGCAAGTTCACCTACCAAAGTATTCAACATACAAGTGGGTTCCTGGGCATTGCATGCGCATAGTAAAATATAATCCGCAAACCGGAAGTCCAGAAGTTTGGGAAGACCATCGGCTAAATCGATGCCTCCGTCCGACGTATCCATTTTGGATCTCCATTTTCGCATGGCCCACTGTTGCATACAGCTGAACCGCGGCGGGCTTAACACGCACCCTTGTCTCACGCCAGAATTGATTGCGAAACCGTGACTAAATCGCCACGGACACGGCCTTCTTGCTTCCAATACAAACATTGCATGACCCAGGTCAGGTGTGCAGAAACTCCATGTGTGGCAAGTGCTTGCCCACAAGTGATTCCAATCTACCCGGTCAAACGGCTTGGAAAGGTCGAGGCTCACAATCCAAATCGGCACGTTCATTGCCAACAGCTTGTCTATCACCAATTTCGAAGTTACAAGATGCTCTTCCACGGAATCTATGTTGTTTTTCAGGCTGGTGTGCCTCCAAGCACGGCTCAATCCTCGCAAGCACCATGTATGCCTGCAAAAACCTTGTAGGATAACCGAAACCGAACAATAGCAATGGAACGGAATTCCGATGCCAGCGACGAATGAATTGTTTTAGGCAACATCACGCACAATGTGGTGATCCATGTGTGTTGGGAACAACCCCCTGAGCAAGCACCTCATTGCACTACCGCAACAGGTCTAGCATGAAGTTTGCAGGCGCAAATTTCAACAACTCGGCCACCAAACCCGTGTTGTGAGCCGCCCTCTTTTTCGTCTTCCATTTTGAAACAGCTGCTTCCAATTCAGCGAGTTCCCACAGACATTCAGACAAAGCAGTTGGTTCCTGAGGAGCCGGGCAAGAAACCCCAAACAGTGTGTGTGAGGTCTGTAAGCAGAAAGTCTAGTGATCTAGACGCATTGGGGTCCACAGAGGCGATGGCGGTGATGAAGTGAAGGTGGGTGTGAGTGAGCGTCGGTGAGAGGGAGTGTGAGTGTGACTGAGAGTGGGAGAGCGAGAGTGAGTGTGAGTGCGAGTGTCAGTGAGCGTGAGCGTGAGTGTGGGTGAGAGTGATAGTGAGAGTGAGTGTGAGTGTCAGTGAGCGTGAGTGAGAATGAAGGTGGGTGTTAGTGAGCGTGGGTGAGAGTGAGAGTGTGTGTGAGTGAGAGTGGGAGAGTGAATGTGAGTGTGCGCGAGTGAGAGTGGGAGAGTGAGTGTGAGTGAGTGCGAGTGTGAGTGAGAGTGAGTGTGGGTGAAAGTGAGTGTGAGTGAGAGTGCAAGTGCGTGTGAGTATGAATGAGACTGAAGGTGGGTGACTGAGTGTGGGTGACGGTGAGAGTCAGTGTGGAAGAGTCAGTGAGTGTGAGAAAGTCAGTCAGTGTGTGAGTGTCAGAGTGAAAGAGTGGGAGGGAGAGTGAGAGTGAGTGTGTCAGAGTGAAGGTGGGTGCAAGTGAGTGCGGGTGAGAGTGAGTGAGTGTGAGTGCGAGTGTGGTGAGAGCCATAGCGAGTGTGAGAATGAGTGTCATGAAATGTTGTACCTGTCACGAAATCTGCACGTCAAGGTTCACCAAGTGCTGCGCCTGCCACGAAATCTGCACGTTGAGGTTCGCCAAGTGCTGCGCCTGCCACGAAAAATTTGCACTTCGAGGTTCACAAAGTGCTGCGCCTGCCACGAAACCTGCACGTCGAGGTTCACAAAGTGTCGTGCCTGTCCCGAAATCCGCACTTCGAGGTTCACAAAGTGCTGCACTTGCCACGAAATCTGCACATCCAGGGTCACAGAGTGCTGTGCCTTCCACGAAATCTGCAAAACGAGACACCTATCCAAAAGTCACTGTTCACCGCACCTGTCACGAAACTTGAGCTCTTCGACGACCACCATGTCCAAAGTGCTGCACCTGCCACGAAAACTGCATTTCGTAGATAGACAGCTCCAATCCCTTGCAACTGTCACGAAAGCCGACTTTGGAGCACCAAAACACGACACCATATATACCAAAATGCGCACGGCACCACAACGAGAGCGCAGTCGCTAGAAGCACCCGCCGCCGGCAGGCAGATTTTGTGAGCCTGCGCAGTCGAAATGCACATTGACGATGTCGAGAGGCATGAATTTACTGTAAATAGCAGCGAACTAGCCGGTCACGCCCGCGCGCTTCAGCGATCTAAGCATCAGCTGCTTTTTCCACTACCGTAAGAACCCCTCAGTGTGCCCACACTGTTTGGGAAAAAATCAAAAATGTGTGCCAATGCACCTGCGAATGTATCAAGAGACAGTTGTTGAACAACTTGCCGGCCATGGAATGATCAATCAAGCTTCCGTCAGAATTTGCAGCATGACATGTCCCGAAGGTGCGCTTGTAGTTTCGACGACTTCCAAAAAAACAATCTCTGTTGTTTCCGAATACGGAAACTTGATTGCTTCCTCATGTCCGCACTCCTGGAACATCTTCTCAGTCGTCGCAAGTTCGTCAACTCCTGGGAAGGTTTGAATCTTAATTTTCCGCGAAAAACCTGACCAGTACGCAACCCTTTTTCCAAAGTTGAAAAGGTTGCCGGTTCACCTGGCAAAGTGTAATGAAGAAGGGCGTTGTGAAATTGTTTGGGCAAACCTATGTTGTCCAGTCCGGGTTTCCGACTTTCCAGCGTTTCAGTGCCGGTTCTCGGGAACAGCGTGGAACTTTGTAAGCTCCAGCCATCGTACACCCTCTCGACATCACCGCCACAGACGCAACCGCAGAAGCCGTTCCAAGCATACAAAACGCTCCTTGCATACCAATCAGAAGAAGCACCCCGAGCGGTCTCGCAGCCGCTGTCGCCATTCTCGCAAGCAGCGAGATCGATCTCCAACAGCTTCACCTTCAGCCGGCAAATCACGTTCCACAACAAGACACCGCTCACGCACCCCACGCAGGACACCTTCCGAAGAGACCACAGACGAACTCGACCAACTTCAATCAAGCCATCCCAACCCACAACATCCAACCCCTCCACAGCCAGTCATTCCGAAACAATCACCGGCCAAGCACCCTCCACCTGCACAAGCCACTGCTCGTTACCCACCAAAACGTCCACCCATTGTTCCACCATCACAATCTCCACGTCACACCCCGTCTCCACCAGGAGTCTGGACTACACAACATCCAGAACATCCTCCAACGCAACCCCACACTCCATACAAGCAGAACCGAAGTCTCCGTGCGCTTACTAGCTAGTGCAGCACTTAATTCAAGAAAACGAGGATGATTTCATATTGCAACATCCTGAAAGTGACTCCAAGTCACCTACCATTGCTGCACGCCAGTTCAGCCAACAAATCAAGTTCCTACACAATTCAAAGTCCAGGGATCAAGAGCATACATCCAGCGCGAATCTGTATCACCATCACCTTCAGTGAGCTGCCTATTTTCGCAGAGTTTGTCGATCACTAGGTAACTGCTGTGGATTTCACATTCACTCTGCTACGAGTTATTTACCAATTGTTTGATTCTCTCATGCATTCTCACTCTATTTCCCGCAGCCGTGACCTCCAAGATTGATCTTATTGAACAACCTTGCACATGGCGGCTGCCTTTTGGAACTGGGCTCACGGCACACCATCTGCACACATTGTACGGGTTGACGACGACCCATCATTCGGTCAGGGTCGGTCTCTACCACTGCAGAGAACAGCTACACACCATACAAGAAAGCGTGTTCTTTCAGGACTCCATTCATCCTCATCTATCACCACCTCTGCTAAGCCTCGTGCTCCGCATCAGAACACTGGTGAAACATGCACGCGAAGATATCACACATGCATTGGTTCAGGTTGAGGCCATCGGCCAGCTCTCACCACGAACATTCAAAGGCAAAGGAAGGAGCACACCTCCTACATTACCACGCCCCACAGACGATCCTATTGCTGCCGTTCCTCAGCCTGAACTCATGTATTTACACGCCACATCCCCGACCCACCACCACCCCACCCATGCACCAACTGACCACCATCAGCCGCCACATCCCTCGACACAGATCTTGACAACTCCACAAACGGCTCCACTCCCCTTCCTGCCACGCCAAATCCCACTCTTGACATCATCCTCACCAAATTGGATTCTCACCCCACAAACTACACACCTTTAACCCCAAAAAAAGTCGGCCAAACTCCAACACCACTGCCCACTCAGCGCTACCAATGCATGCGCTTGGCCAACAGCTACCCATTGCCACCACGTCCACACATTTGAGCCCAACAAACTTCAGCCACACATCCCCCTGCGAGGACCTGCCACACTCACTCCCGCCGGCCCCGTTCACGCTCCAACTACTTCCATCACTACTATCCATCAGCAAACCACCACTTCCCAAGCCAATGTTGCACCGCACCCCTCTGGCAATCCGATCCCACTGCCCCACCCAAAAGCATCAACCGGGCCTTGGCCCCTGGTGGGACGCTGAGGGCTCCGCCCCATCGACCCCACGCCGACATCACCGCGACATACCTGGCTGAGCGGTTTTTTGGATTCACGTTAAAATTCAATGCCAAAGGCAGCGCGAGGACGCGCCACTCCTCGCTCGCCACTCCTCGCTCGCGAGGACGCGCCACTCCTATCGAGCTTAGCACGCACAAAGATATTTTTTGACCTCTATTGTTTGCCCTTTCGGCTGTCTTTGATCCGACGGATTGTAGTTTTGTTCTTTTTGAGGCTCTAAATGAATGCTACTGACGACTTTCCCTTGAACAACTTGAGAGAGGAGGGGGTGAACGAAAGGTTGCAGGGAATCACAAGTAAACCGGACTTTCCAGACTACTTTCATGTTTGGACAGTTTGAAATCTCCAAAAGCCGCTCCGAAAAAACCCTTTCCGACAAATTTTTCCAGGTTTTTGTCACTTTTCGACCATTTTTGAAGCCTAGATTCAAAAGCCATCGGCTTTTACGAGGTTTTTGGCCGGACAGCCACAGAAAACCCTGTAAATTGCGTGGTTTGAGGCCACTCTTGCAGACTGGAGGAGCTGAAAACAGTGGTATTTACGGCGCTTTCTAGCCGTTGACAAAGAGCCGCGCCAGGGTGCAGTTGAAGGGGGGGGTGACACGAAGTGCAATTCAGTGGATTTGCCTTGGAAAGAACACGGTCTCGAGAGAGGTCTGTATGGACGATGCTCGGACACGAGTCGAATGCAGTCGGTTGCGAAAGCAAGCGGCTTTTCTCAGTCTTGAGCCAACTGTATCAGTCATTGTATATACAAATATACATCAATAAGAGGTTAGTTCAGAGAAAACGAAACACAAAACAGACATAATTTTCCTAACCTCTGTGCATGAAATTGCCTTGGTCGATAATTGACACAAGGAGATCTTTATAAGTTAAATTCTCCTTTTCGAGAGTTCTTAGTTGTCGATCTTCTATGCACAAAGAGAAATCTACAGATCCTAATGAAGGTGAGACCGAAGGCGTCGAAAGCTTTGTTCAAGTTCTTAGGCATCGGAGCTTCCAGTGCAGCTGAGTGTACGTGCTTAATTGTCACTTGCAATGGATAATGCCAGCTTTGATCGCTACCGCCGATCAAAGGCAAGTGCTTGAAACGTTCACAAGATTCGACGGTATACGGGATCTTTAGAGCGGGTCGGATTGCTCCATCCTTGCTGCTCAGATCATTTCGGTCATCCAAGGCAGGATCGAAGATGAGACTCTGATATTGTTCATTCAGATCGACGGATGTGTGATCGCTCTTGCGGTTCCAAAAATGGAGTCAAATTCTGCCGGATGGAATCCCTTAAAGTACTTCTGGAACCCAACAGCGTTCGAAAGTTCCCTGCGACGTAAATGTTCTGAGATCCATCGTGCTTCGAAATCGGCTGGTGTGGAGCTATGGATTGACGCATTGATCCGGAGGTGCTTCAATTCTCAATTGGTATAGCGTTGATTGACGGTGGTCATATACGCACGAACGTGGGTGGGTCCACATCGGATTCCCATGAGCGTCTG